AAAAAAAAGAACATCGTCCATGAAGAAAGCAAAAGGTCATTAAAAAGACAGGAAAGGAAGAAAAGTCCAAAATGGATGTCAGAAGAGACTCTGAAACTTGTTCTTGAATGGATAGCAGCTAAAGTGAATGGAAGAAATGATTAAGTGAAAGAGCTGAGCAGAAGATTTCAAAGGCTGCTTGAGAAAAATAAGTTATTATAATGAAATGTGCAAAGATCTGGAGTTAGAAAACCAAAAAGGAAGAATATGCTTGATATTTCTCCAGGTGAAATAACTGAAGAAAAATTTCAAATCTTGAGTTACAATATTGAAGGAGTCTATGAGCAAAATATTGAATGATGCAGGAGGCATCAAAAGAAGATGGAAGGAATATACAGAGTCATGGTACCAAAAAACCTGGTTGCTGTTCAACTATTTCAGGAGGTAGCATATGATCAAGAACCAATGGCACCGAAAACAGAAGTCCAAGATGCACTGGAGGCATTGGTTAAAAAAAAAAAAAAAAAGGCTTCAGAAATTGACAAAATACTGCTTGAGATGTTTCAACAAATGGATGCAGTTCTGGAGGCGCCTACTCATTTATGCCAACAAATTTGGAAGACACCTACCTGGCCAATCAAGTGGAAGAGATCCATATTTATGCCCATTCCAAAGAAAGATGATCCAACAGAATGTGGAAAGTTTTGAATAATATCATTAATATCACACACAAGTAAAATTTTGCTGAAGATAATTCAAAATGAGTTGCAGCAGTATATTGACAAGGAACTTCCAGACATTCAAGCTGGATTCAGAAGAAGAAGTGGAATGAGAAATATCATTGCTGATGTCAGATGAATCTTGACCAAAAGCAATAAATACCAGAAAAAATATGAACTGTGTTTTACTGACTATTTGAAGGCATTCAGCTGTGTGGATCAAAGCAAATTATGGATAGCATTGCAAAGAAAGGAAATTCCAGAAAACTTAATTGTGCTCTTGAGAAGCCTGTATGTAGACTAAGAAGCTGTTGTTTGAATAGAACAAGGGTGCATGGTATAAAATTAGGAAGGGTGTATGTCAGGGTTGTATTCTTTTACCATTCTTATTCCATCTGTATGCTTGAGCAAATAATCCAAGAAGCTGAACTATATGAAGAAGAACATGGCTTCAGGATTAGAGCAGGAATCATTAACAACCTGAAATATGCAGATGACACAGCCTTGTTTGCTGAAAGTGAAGATGATTTAAAGCACTTACTGATGAAGATCAAAGACTACAGCCTTCAATATGGATTACACCTCAACATAAAGAAAACAAAAATCCTCACAACTGGCCCAATGAAGCGTCATGATAAATGGAGAAAAGATTGAAGTTGTCAAGTATTTCATTTTACTTGAATCCATAGTCAACACCAATGGAAGCAGCAGTCAAGAAATCAGATGTCATATTGCACTGGGCAAATCTGCTTCAAAGGACCTCTTTAAAGTGTTAAAGAGAAAAAATGTTACTTTGAAGACTAACGTGCACCTAACCCAAGCCATCATATTTTCAGTCACCTTATATGTATGTGAGGGAGCTCTGGTAGCATTGTGCCTAAGGCACTTGACTGCTAACCAGAAGGCTGGTGGTTCAAACCCACCAGCCACTCCTCGGAAGCAAGATGGGACAATCTACTTCCGTAGTGATACCGCCTCGAAAACCCCAGGAGGGGTCGCTATGAGTCGGGTCCGACTTGACGGCACATAACAACAACAACACAATATGCATGTGAAGTTTGGGCAGCGATTAAGAAAGACCAAAGAAGAGTTGATGCCTTTGAATTGTAGTGTTGGCAAAAAAATACTGAAACCATCATGGGCTGTCAGATTTGAACCAACAAATCTGTCCTGGAAAAAGTGTAGCTGGAATGTTTCTTGGAAACCAGAGTAGCTGGACTTCATCTCACCTACTTTGGCCATGTTGTCAGAAGGGACCATTCCCTGGAGAAGGATATCCTGCTTGGTAGAGAGTCAGCGTAAAAGGGGAAGACCCTGAACGAGATGAATTGAATAGTGTCTGCAATGATGGGCTCAAGCATAGATTGTGAAGATGGTGCAGAACTGGGCAGTGTTTGGTTTTGTTGTACATAGGGTCACTGAGTTAGCTGACTCAAGGGCACCTAACAGCAAGAACAACAACTCTGATGCTATCATGGCTGTAGCTTTATGATATGTTTCTAGGTAGTAAAAAGTTGCAATTTTGTTTTCTTTTAATGAGTTACAATTGCATTTTAAAAATAGAGTAGTATAAGTACAAAAACAAAGTAAAGGCAATAGAATCACCAACTATATTAGTTTCCTATTGCTCCTATGGGAGCTCTGGTAGCATAGTGCCTAAGGCACTTGACTGCTAACCAGAAGGCTGGCGGTTCAAACCCACCAGCGACTCCTCAGAAGGAAAGTTGGGCAATCCTACTTCTGTAGTGATACTGCCTTGGAAACCCAAGGAGAGGTCACTATGAGTCAGGGCCAACTTGACCGAACATAACAACAACAACAACAATTGCTCCTATAACAGATTACCATAAATTTAGCCACTTAAAACAACACAAATTTATTATTTTACAGTTCTGGAGATCAGAGCCCAACATGGGTCTCAATGGGCTAAAATCCAAGTGTCGGTAGGGCTGTATTCCTTTCTGGAGACTCTAGAGAAGAATCTCTTTCCTTGTCTTTTCCAGTATGTAGAGGCAGCATGCATTTCTTGGCTTTTGTCTTAACAACTAACAATGGCTGATCAAGTCTTTCTGGTTCTTACTCTTCTGTCTTGGTCTTCCCCATTTAAGAACCCAAGGTTGATAGTTCGAACCCACCAGCTGCTCTGTGGGAGAAAGATGAGGCAGTCTGCCTTCCATGAAGATTTATAGCCTTGGAAACCCTATGGGGCATTTCTGCTCTGTTCTATAGGGTCACTATGAGTCCGAATGGAGTCAATGGCTATGGGTTTGGTCTTTTTGGTTTGTGATTACATTGGGCCCACCTGGATAATCCAAGATGGTTTCCTTATTTCAAGACTTAGCTGATTAGCAATCTTAATTCCACCTGCAACCTTAATTCTCATTTGTCCTACGACATGGCATATTCAGTTTCTGGGTATTAGGACATGACCATCTTTGGGAAGGGTTGCAATATTCTGCCTACCATAGCAAGCTGTAGCTTACAAAACTTTAGTAAGTACTATTGGTAGGTTTCATCAGTCTTTCAGAAAGACAGTTGTCATTTTTCTGTGACCTAACAATTGGGTTGCCCACGCTTTGCTCACTGGGCAGTTGCAAACCTCACTGGGCTCAGTACAATAGCAGTGGATTCCTGGTCTGAGACCCGTACTGTCATCATGCTGCGCAAGATCTTTCATTCTCGCTGGGTAACTACAAAATCCATTTTCTCAATGAATAGTGTGTTTCCAGCAACCCACAGGTTGGTGGGTCCCAGCTAGGGCAGTCTTAGGGAACTAGAGCCACCATGGGTAGACCCCTTCTTCTCTACCTTCATTTTGCATGTTGGTTCTGAAAGTTAAAGGCCATAGACAGAGCACATGGTCAAAGTACTATAAAATGGATATCCTGTATATGTGTTTACCAGATGATCAAGAAGTCCCGAACAACTGAAATGGCTCTAGAAAGCCTGAAGCAGCAACTGCTGGACCTTCATCATTCTGAGTCACTTCATCGAGCTAGAGAGCAGCACGAGAGCATCGTTATGGGTCTCACAAAGAAGTATGAAGAGCAAGTGTTGTCCTTACAGAAGAATTTGGATGCTACAGTTACCGCACTTCAAGAACAGGTTCGAATGATTTCAAATGAGCAACTGTTAGCAACAAGTAAACCTGGTTATTATTTGTAACTGACATTTTGTGGTTCATCACATAGAAATCTTAGGAGTTTTTATAGTAGGTGTTGGTATGTGCCTGAAACTTAAAAGTCAAAATTTTTGATCTCTTAAAATGTCCTGAAGGCATAATTTCCCACCTCCCTTCCTTGAGGAAGGATTGGTCTGTACTTTCATAATGCTCAAGTTACTGTTTTTTTATTTGTAGAGTATTTATGTATTTTGTTCATAGTATATGGATGGTCATTTCCCTGGAATAAATCTAGACTGAAATGAATGAGTGTACAGGTAACCAGCTTGAACCTGAGAGGTTAACTTGGGACCTTAACTGGTAGAAGGGACTTCTTGGGTCTCCCAGAATTTGGTCATTAACCTGCTAATAAAGAGTATCTAGAAATAATGTTTTAGGAGCAGAGGTCATTTTGAAAGTAGTTAATTGATAAGGTAGGGGAGAAACTCTGATCTAAAATCATTTAGACTTGAAGCTTGAGCATATGTAATAGGTAGCTTTTATTATTTTTGCCCAAAAGGAAATAAAATCTCTTAAGCTAAGGGTGAGTCAGGTGCTGGGTTTGCTTATGCTCTGAAACCCTAGGTTTTGTTCAAAATGTATTTTTCTTACTATAATTTCAGAATTAGTTTAACCCAAGGAAAAAGGAAAAGAAAAATCAGATGTGAGGGTATGGAAAATCCTAGCACATTTAAAATTTATGCTGATTTAGGCTGTTATTTCTCATTTATATAGCTAACTCTAAATTTTTCCATGCTCTTAGGTAGAACCATATAAGATTGCATTATTGGCAATTTTATATGATTCAACCTCATAATAAAGGCAAAATTAATATAAAAAAAAAAAAAAGAAGAAGTTACATCACCTACTCTTCATTATTTTAATTAATTGAAGGGATTGTAGCAAATAAAAACTTGAATTATGGAGGATCCCCAAATTATTTGTGTACTATTTTACATTTATAGGAATTTATGTTATTTTTAAAAAATCAGATATATTTCCTAATTATGTTTTTATTCTATTTAAGTAGAAAACCATTGTGAATTTGGATCAGTGTGGAGGGTATATAAGGGTGGGGGAAAAATGAGAGCCATGACAAATTATTAAAAAGTCTATAGAATATTTAAATGGAAATATAATTTAAGATTATAGTTTTATTAATTTTGGCTGTGTGTGGGTGGTAGCATTAAAGCTAGTTGGACTTGGAGAGTGGACCTCCTTGGATAACTGGAGAAGAGGGTGTCTAGTGGCTTTTCCCTGCTGAGTTAATTTGAGAATCTCTCCTTTTACTGTTGACTTAGACAAAATTACATAGGGGATGAGCTGGAAGGAACCCACCCTTGTGCCTGCTCCATCCTCCATTCTTACCCTACCTTCAGTGGAAGAACTGTGGACCAGAAGACAGAACACAGTCTTAATTCTGTACTGACTGGGCTTCAGATTAAGTTAAAGTTTTTGATTAAGGACTTTTCCCACTATTTTGTGACTGATTTTTTGTTTGTTTGTTTGTTTTGCCTACAGAGTTATGAGGACTGATGTTAGCCTATGCTTACATTATAACTGCATAGTTACTTGCAAATTGGTGGTTTATTCCAAAGTGCTCATGGTTTGTTCTTTCTGGGAATGTTTTCCATGGTTTATCTTTCATGCTGTCAATTTGCTGTTAATTGGCTCAGCACTAATTTTAATTAAAAGTCAAGGTAACTAGCTTCAATTCATACTATCTCAGAATCCAAACTGAGATTCGTGATTGGGAAGGTGATATAAAATCGACCAAGAGCTAGGGAGATACCTGCCTGCAATTAGTAAAGTGCATGAGTGTGTTCTGAACAGATAGGGTTATTCTACATTTTCTTACATTATTGATAACCATGCATATACATATATACTGTATTTTGCCTTTTGATCTCTTTTTCTTTACAAATGTTATTGAAGAGGTGCAAAATGTTTCCCTTTCAGGTAAATCTTTTCCCAGTACACTCCACTTCACAGGTTACAGAGAAAAGTGAAGCAACTCTTGGAAAATAGTAGCAATAACTGAGTAATTTACCCAGATGAACCTGAATAAAGTTGCCAGTATCCAGGTTCTGAGTGGCTGTCATGTGGTCACACACAGTTGTGTACATGTGTATTGTATGTACATAGTGAACAGAGTAGATGTTGACACGTAGAAAACTTTGCTGGTAATACAGACTCTTAACCTGGTGTCACCAGGGAGTCCATGGATTGCCTCAAATTGTGAGCATAATTTTATTTTGCATGTGAGTATATGCAGTTTTTTGGAGGAGATCTATGAGTTTATAGATATCCCAAGACTCTCATGTCTCCCTTTACAGAAGGTTGGAAATCATTTATGAAGTTGTTTTTGGTAGGGAAGGACTATAACTACATTGTAGACTAATCATTATTTTCTCTGTTCAGCAAACCAAGCTAAGTGTAAGGATGTAAACAAACTTTATTTATGTTTAATTATATTTTGAGAGACAAAATTCAACACAGGAACTATGGGAGGAGGAGTATTCCATGATTCAGCTGGACTTATTTTTTTCTCAGTATCTTTGTAACTTGTGTATTATGTGAAATATATGGCTTATAAAATGATGCCATAACTTTAGTGCTTTCTTGAAGTCATCAGATTTTCTGGATGGAAAAGAATATGCACACTCATAACATAGTCTATCAGTTCTTTCCCTTTGGGTTAAGTTCCTCTGGGGTTTTCAATGTGACAGAGAAGATGGGAATACAGGCTTCTTAGAGCTCATAGTGTTCCCCTGATGACAGAACTTTGTAATAGCAATCCTTTTCATGTGTTCTCTCCTCCAAAGTGTCTTCTACCTTCTCCCATTCATAGACGTGATATTTAGAGCTCTGATTATCTCGTGATGGTGTAACAACCTTTCCTCACTCTGGTCTTTTTTAAATCTTCAGCTTTTGGTGAAAGCAGTTACCTTTTACTTTCCTCGTAGACCTTAGTTTGTACATTAAGACCTTCACTTGATATATATATGTATGTGTGTGTGTGTGTGTGTGTATATATATAATTTTTTTTTTTTCCTTTAATGCTGTATTTAAAGGTACCACTTTGAACACTTCCTGCTGGCTGAGAGACTCTTACAGTAAGACAGATGTCAGTGTGTGGTCTAATGTTCACTTTTTTTATGCACCAGAACCCTATTCAATTCCCTTTGCTCCCACAGATTCAGCTATCACCTCTGTATCATCACACTTACTTTGTTCAGTCAAAAAATATGTTAGCCCTTCTTAGTCTTGAGCTGTGTTCTTATTCAAACTAGTCATGGAACACCTCAACTTTTTTTTTTTTTCCAGTATTAAAACTGAACAGTTTTATGAGTCTCTGAATTTGTCAACAGGAAACACCATGGTTTAATTGATTGTTGAATATAGTCAAATTCTTTGCGAGTCCTGTCTTTACTTTCTTTACAATGTCATATCTACCTTGTTTTCTTTAAGCTTTTGGCCAGTTCCTTGCCTCTTGTGAAAACTGTTCTGACCTCCCCAGCACATAAACGTTGGTTGTCTCCTCACCCATTCTCGCACACACATTCATACTGTCATTAATATTAGCTCATTCATTGTGTTTGCCGTACTACTTTGGCATCTTAGAGCCATGTTTCTCAAGCTGGCCTGGGACTCCACAGCAGTGTGCCAAAAGGTTTACAGGGCTGAATAAACATGAACCAGTTTCCAGAAGCTTCATTTTGCTAAAAAATGTGGGAGAAAAAAATTTAAAGCAAACACAGCTATATTATGAAATACCCAAAGAAACAAAAGAAAACCAGTTGCCTTTGAGTTGATTCCTAGTCATAGTGATCCTATTGGACAGAGTAAGACTGCCTCATAGGGTTTCCAAGGCTGTAAATCTTTACATATGCAGAGTGCCTCATCCTTCTCTTGTGTAGTGGTTAGTGGGTTCGAACCGTCGACCTTTTGGTTAGCAGCTGAGCTCTTAACCACTGTACCACACATTATGAAATAGAATACAAAATTCACATGAATTTTCAAAGTGAAGTGGTAGACTTAAGAGTCTCTTTCCTCTGCTCTAAGGGAGCTTTTGTGTTAGTATGTTTAAGGCTTTATTGAGCTTTAGGTTATCTCATGAATCAGGGCCAGATCCTGCTCCTTGCTTCAAGTTCTTGCTTAATATTCCCCTTACTATTTATTTTCTTCAGACTTTTCCAAGTAACTTCAGTCAGTTAACTTAATTCACTCTTCTGCCTCTCTCATGCTGTATCATTTGCCTGGGGTTCAGCCTGCAAGCCTTGTTTGAAGGAGAGGTAATGAATTTTATGAGCCCTCTTCTACCTGAACTTGAGGACTGCCATGGCTCATTATTCCCAAATACATTTTCAGAATGAAAGATGTTATATAAATATATTCTATATTTTCTGTGTCTCTCCATAGATACACACACACATATATATTATCTTACCTGTTTTTATAATTCATTATTCAGGTATTTTTTAGGACACTTGCTATGTTTAAGGCACTGCATAGGTACCTTCAAGGAGACTACTAAGAGAAATAAGATGTACAAGATAAAAAGAGAAACAGATAAAAGATTTAAAAAAAAGTTCAAAGGAGGGAAAGATTACTTTTAGCTGCTCAGAATAGAATGAGCTTTTGACTGATCAGTATAGAGTGAGTTTTGTGTGTTTATCTATAGCCTTGTTTTAGGGCACAAATTCCAAGATTCAAAGTGGTCTGCCTAAATATGTATACATACTTTTAAAGTGTATCCATTTGTTGAAACATCTCACTGGGTATTCCAGTCACTTCCTGGAGCCTTGCTTTTTGCAGTTTGTTCAGTGCAGGTTGGACTTCCTCCTTCAGTACCATTGGTTCTTGATCATATGCTACTGCCTGAAGTGGTTGAACATTGGCCAATTCTTTTGGTACAGTGACTCTGTGTGTTTCTTCCATTTCCTTTTGATGCTTCTTGCATCATTCAATATTTTGCCCATAGAATCCTTCAATATTGTAATTTGAGACTTAAATTTTTTCTTCATTTCCTTCATCTTGAGAAATGCTGAGTGTGTTCCTCCCTTTTGGTTTTCTAACTCCAGGTCTTTGCACATTTCACTGTAATACTTCACTTTGTCTTCTTGAGCCTCCCCTTGAAATCTTCTGTCCGCCTCTTTTACTTCATCTTTTCTTCCATTCACTTTAGCTACTCTTCATTCAAGAGCAAGTTTCAGAGTCTCTTCTGACATCCATTTTGGTATTTTCTTCCTTTCCTGTCTTTTTAATGATCTTTTGCTTTCTTCACGTATGATGTTCCTGATGTTCCCACAGCTCATCTTGTCTTCCATCATTGGTGTTTAATGGATCAGATCTTTTCTTCAGATGGTCTCTAAATCAGTGGGATATAGTCAAGGTTGTATTTTGGCTTTTGTGAACTAGCTTTAATTTTGTTCAGCTTCAACTTGAACTTGTATATGGGCAATTGTTCGTCTGTTCCACAGACAGCCCTTGGCATTTTTCTGACTGATGATAATGAGTTTCTCATCATCTCTTTCCACAGATGTAGTCAATGTAATTCCTGTGTATTCCCATCTGGTGAGTACTCAGCTTCTAAGTGAAAGGTCTACAGTTTGAACCCACCAACCAGTGGCTGCAATGATGGGTTCCAGCATAGCAAGAATTGAGAGGATGGTGCAGGACTGGGCAGTGTTTTCATTCTGTTGTACATAGGGTTGCTGTGAGTTGGAATTGACTTGACAGCACTTAACAACAACAACATACTTAAAGTAACAGTATAAAATGGAAATGAGGATGTATAAATTTCCTTTGGCTTGAATACAATCTAATTTCAGAATGACAGCATCTTGTGAATGTAGAGCAGAAAGGGACTTTAGAAATCATCTAATTCAGCCTTTCTTAGCATACTTAACAAAAGAAGAAATACACTGAGAAACTGATGAGACTCACCTAAGGTCAAATGCTGCCATTTGACTGTTTAATATTTGACATAAAATCTAATTATGACTCATACCTTTTAATTTCATATTTAATAGCTGAAAATTAAAATGATTTCTTGGACACTTTTCTGTTTAGGAAGATACTTGCTCTCATTTGAAAGATCACATAAAACAACTGGAAAGGAATCAAGAAACAAACAAATTAGAAAAGACTGAGATCATTAACAGGTTAACAAGAAGTCTAGAGGAGAGTCAAAAGCAATGTGCCAGCTTGTTGCAGTCAGGTAGGTATCTGGTTGGGCTTGCTTTCATCAGCATAATATGCAGAAAGTATATAAGATCACTAACATGTCAAAGGGACAGAAAAAATAATTGGTAACTAGTTTTTTTTTTTTTTTTAATTTATATTTATAATGGTATTACATTTTCATTACATAATTTGGAAAACATAAACAAGTATAAAGTGAAAAATAAAAATAACTAATAATCCTACTATCCAGGGATAACTTTAACATTTGGGTATATTTCTTTCAAAAGAAATAAATACACATACATAGACAATTCTTGCTTTTGTACACAGCACAGTTCTGAAAACATACAAAAGCTGTATGTACAAAAATTGAACAATAAAGTGTACATTATAAGGTAAGTTATATCCCTGAGAGCTGAAAATGATTATGAAATTCCATTGTATTTTACTTTTTTAGACCCAAACTTTGATGATACATTTCTACCCTTTTTATATAAATTGTTTACTTTTTTCCCCTCTGGGAAAAAAATTGGTAGAGCCAATTAACTGGCCTAAATCCATTGTGTTCAGCTGAGGCAAGAGAGTTACATTTTTGGCATGCTTCAGATTTCTTGTATGTTCTCCATGGTATTAAGTTTGTGACTTACTCTTCCTATTATTAGATTTAACAGCATTTTTATTTCTTATTAATTTTTATAAAAGGGTATTAGAATAAAAGACAATAGAATAATCAACTGTTTGCACCAACGTTACTGTACAGACATAACTACGCTGTTTGCTGATGAATAGCTTTCCCTGTGAAGAGAGCTCAATGGGTTTTCATTAACTGAAATATGATAGTCATATGGCATATGATCATGCCTTTGGCATATGAAAGAATGTCATTACAATGTATGAAAGAGTGGGTCCTTCAAAAGTTGAAAGTACTAAAGTCAGGGACTGCCTAAATATGTGAGTATGTAGGTTTTGTGGCTGAGGAGGTGACAAAATTTGCACCACACTGTTTAGCTCCCTGCTCTCTGTTTAGTTTTTTTTTTTTTTTTTTGGTACTTAGTGGTAAGTTCAATTTTATTACCATTGAGTTTTTCTTTCAAGAAGAATGGTGTCACAATACCGAAAGAGTGTCAATAACAACAGAGAAACTTTAAAGGTAAACATGTAAAATTATTACAAATAATAAATGTAATAGGGAAAGCACTTCCTTTCACAACTTTCTTATATTCCACTTCCTCAGGTAGTCCAGCAGAAGATTAGAAATTTATAACCTTTGACACTCAAATCATGTATACATTTAAAATACATATATATTTTATTGTGTTTTTTTTGAAAATTTACATAGCAAATTAAACCAAACTGACTGCCGTGGAGTCGATTCGACTCATAGTGACCCCTCCTTGGGTTTCCAAGGTGATATCTCTATGGAAGTAGATTGCCAAACCTTCCTTCTGAGGAGCGGCTAGTGGGTTTGAACCACCAGCCTTCTGGTTAGCAGTCAAATGCCTTAGGCACTACACCACCAGAGTTCCCACCTAGTAAATTAGGTTTAATGCTGGTTTAGTGTGTTTACTTGTTTTTTCTCCTATTTAGTTTTGAACCCTTTTTTCCCCACATGATGGTGTTTGGTGAGCATTTTTCCTTGCCATTAATGACTTTGAAAATATGACTTTATTTAGTTGCATAATATGCCATCAATATGTTGCTTAACCATTTCCCAGATGGTCATGAGATGGTCATTTTCTTTTGAGGAAACGTAATAAAGTCTCTTTTGAATGGAAACCTCCCCTAGTACATTTAAAATTTAAGGTCTCCAAAGTTTCAGAAGCACAATGCTCATATTCATCTTTCACATGTGGAGGTTGGAGTTGTGGTAATGAAAGCATTTAGAAAGCAACTGAAGGCAGCATAATGTAGTTTTCTGATTGAAAAAGTAGAAATGAATTCACAAGAATTTTTTCTTTATTTTCTAAGAGTTGGAACGTTAAGCTTCTGCTGAAGGACTTCTGGATTGTTACAGTCTGTTGATATGGCCGATTGGTTCATGGCATAGTCACACTAGCCAATGTCTCCAGTGTTGCATGGGCATACAGGGAAGCCATGCCAGATCCTGGAAGTGTCTGGACGAGATCTAGACATCTAGGTCCTGCTGGCTATATATCTTTATGTGCCTAAAAAGATGGTGGTGATCTAAGCAGAACTCTACTTTCTGTATCTCAGTGTATTCAAGTTTTTCTATGATCATAGGTACTTTGTCCTTTTACATTCAGTGTATCCTATGATGCTTTCCCCCATAGGCTCAGTACAAGAGGTGGCTCAACTACGGCTACAGTTACAGCAGGCACAAAAGGCATACACGATGAGTGAAAACATGAACAAGGCTTTTCAGGTGAGTGTTGCCACTTAAAAGAGACCCTGTGGGTAATTAAATTAGGCAATGATGATACCATTTTTCTGGACCACATGTTTCTCTTTCTTCTCCACACAGTTAGGTGACCAAGCTTAGGTCTGTCTAACTGCAGAACCCTGCCATCTCCTTCACATGGCGTGTTCTTTCATCTATGGGAGTGTCCCGGAGATGAACTTATTTATAAGGGTGTAAAACATTCAGTTTAGCAGAACAGCATCATTCACTTCTTTCACATTCTCCTGCAGTGCTACTTTGATTTTCCGTGTAATACTGGAAAGAGGTATTTTGCCTTTCTACCACTGGCAGGTTAAAGTACATGTTCTTGGCATGCCAGTTTGCTTTGTCCTCTAATAAGCCAGTAAGGACTGCCATCAATCAGCATCTCACCTCAATGGATGCTTTTCATGGTGGACAAAATGTAAGAGAGGGAGATGTCAGGTTAACTACTTGCTTGCTAATTGATTAATTAATTTACTTTGCTTAAAAACTTGCTACATGCTAGTCACACTAGTTGCTGTGTCTACATACAGAAAAATTAAAACAAGTGAAAAATGTATATGTAGTTTAGATGCAATTTTTTGGCCTAAAGGCCAAACTGCCCTTGGTGATGATCTTGGTTTTAGCTGCTCTTATAACTGGGTTTCTGGGTCACTTTTGCTAATTATAGCAATTTTTTCCTTTTCTTTTACATTTGTGTTATTTTGTTGTGTGCATGTTTACCTCTGATCCATTTGCTACATTTGGTTCTACCAGTAGCACAGTATATCTATTAATGAAACCCAACGGCTTTGGTTAAAAGTATTTACCACATATAGGCCATCATGGAGAATTATAAATAAATGATAATATATGCTAATAATGTATTTGAAGAAGCTTTTGCCTCCTGTTGATCACTAAAACAAATTTTGAAGCATGGATAAAATGATTGGTTACTTTATATATACTTTATATATGTTGTTGTTTATATATGTTGTTGTTGTTGTTATATGCCATCGAGTCGCACCCTACTCATAGCGACCCCTCCTTGAGTTGCCAAGGCAGTATCATTACGGAAGTAGATTGCCCAACCTTCCTTCTGAGGAGTGGCTGGTGGATTTGAACCGCCAGCCTCCTGGTTAGCAGTCAAGTGCCTTAGGCACTATGCTACCAGAGCTACTACTTTATATGTAGAGACAGGAAAATAATTTTCAATATTTTTGTGTTTTAGGAAGAATTAACAGAACTGAAAAATGAAATTTCTCTCTATGAATCTGCTGCAAAACTAGGAATACTTCCGAGTGACTCAGAAGGAGAATTAAATATAGAACTCACTGAATCATATGTGGATTTGGGTATTAAAAAAGTCAACTGGAAAAAATCCAAAATTAACAGGTATTGAGGGACTAGTTTATTGTAGACGACCCTACATTAATGATTACTAACGATGTCTGGTAAACAGGTGGCAGCAGGCATGAAATGAAGTGAGCAGAAGTGTTTGAATATAGGACAATGTAATATGTTTTAGTAATTTTTAATGAAATATAAATATCTGGAATCAAAATGAATAGAAACCTCAAATAGTGGTGTTATACTAACGTCTCCAACATCAAATATGTACATCAGTTTCATTAAAAATGGTTTAGTTAAAATATAAAAAGTTAATTTGAAAACAGATTATCTGTATTAACTGTTACAGTGAGGGCCTATTATTTTTATGCTAACATAATGGGTTGCAAGCAGATACCTTGCATTTGTTAATGGTATATAAGAATGTAAACATTAATTTTTCCTGGGAAGCTTACTATGCCCTTACTTTTAAAAAAGGGATTCTGTCTTTTGTTGTTGCTATTAGTTGCTGCTGATCACAATGCAGGTCTTCTGGGGTGCTTCACCTCTTGACTAGTAATGAAGCCTTTAACTGTTTGCCTCACCCAGGGACTCCCTGCCTTTTGTACCGCTACTGAATTCAGATATTTTAGCAGTCTTATGGGAATGGGTGCTTCAGTGTTCGCAGAGTGCTGCTAGTGGAAAAAAACACATTGTATCATTAAACTGGATGAATGAATGGATGAATGAGAGGCTGTGGCTTTTGGAAGCACTTGCTTCGTGGGAGGTGCTATGCCAGCCTCTGGGAATACACAGTACAGAGATGAGATGGAAGCCATCCCTCCCCACAGGAGATTTATGTTTTGTTTGGGGATAGGAAGACATACTTGTAAGCAACTGAGCATTTGAAGTTAAGTGTAGACTTGATATACAAAGGAAGGATTTACTACCCTTTGTGCTTCAGGTATCATATAACTAAATACAAATATGTGAATCTCCTGAAGAGTTTGCTCTACAGTAGATTTTTTTATTATTATTATTTATTTTTTTAAAATGCATTTTATTGAAATATAATTTATGTACGGTGAAATACACAAAACTAAAGTGACATGGGTCAATGCATTTTTTTTTTTCCAGTGTTCCCTCCCCACCCCTCCCACCCCTGGCAACCAACAAAGAAAGTTTCCCTCCATATATAAACCTTTCCTTGACCCTCCACAACAACGAACTAATACTATATTTCTCCTTCTGTGATTGACTTATTTCACTCTGCATAAGGTTCTCCAAGTTCATCCATATTATGCGGTGTTTTACAGACTCTACATTATTCTTTAGTACTGCATAACATTCCAGTATGTGTATGCACCATAGTTTGGTCATCCACTCTTCCGCTGATGGGCACGTAGGTTGTTCCCATCTTTTTGCTAATGTAAATAGTGCTGCGATGAACATGAATGTGGATGTATCTGTTCCTGTCCTGGCTTTCATCTCTCTAGAATATATACCTAGTAATGGGATTGCTGGGTCAAATGGTATCTGCAATTCTAGCTTTCTAAGGAATCACCATATTGCTTTCCACAGTGCTTGTATCACTTCACAGTCCCACCAGCAGTGTATAAGAGTCCCAATCTCTCCACATCCCCCCCAGCATTTGTTATTTTCTGCCTTGTTGAACCTTGCCATCAGTGCTGGGGTGAGATGATATCTCATTTTTTGATTTGCATCTCTCTGATGGCCAATGATTGTGGCGTCTCTTCATGTATTATTAGCTAGCCACCTGAATATCCTCCTTGGTGAAGTGTCTATTCATGTCTTCTGCTCATTTTTCAATTGGATTGTTAATTCCTTTGGTGTTGAGGTGTTGGAGTTTTCTATAAATCTTAGAGATAAGTCCCTTGCCAGATATGTAATTATTGGCAAATATGAATTTGTTGCTGTCATTTTTGTTATGTGCTTTTTTGTGGTGTTGATTTCTTTCTACAGATTTTATTTTATTTTAAGAGCTTGTTTTACATTCAACGGTACATGTACATTTAGTTTCATTCCCCATTTACCATGTCCAACCCTAACCCAGTCTCCTCCCATCCCTACCCTGTAACCCTCCGCCTGTGCCCCTTATATTTATGTACTCCTGTTTTTCCTGCATTTCCTCAGTTTGAATGTTGGTCCTCTGGTATCCCATGGTCTATTGCTCTAAGGGATGTATTACCATAGAATATGTGGGTACGTCATCCTGGATTGAGTGGTCTGCGTGTACATCTTGTTAACTTTTGGGCTGAGAGCCAGCCCCTGGGGGGTACGTTTTATTCCAGGTGCATAATGTATCCTAGGGCCGTAGTATTGGGGGTCTCACCAGATTTCACCTGACCAGTAATTCTGATCATTATTGAGTTTTTGGATTTTGTTCCATGTTTTCCCTCCCACTCTATCCAGGATCTCCAGATTTGATCCCTTCCTGAGTGGTTGGCATTGGTAGCCAGGTACCATCTAGTTCTTCTGGTCTCAAGGGCCATCGTGTCCTAGGGCTAATTGCTTCCAAATGCCCTTGTTTGTTTTTTTTTTTTTGCATTCTTCTTCGCTTCCAGTGCTAGGAGATATGTAATTATTGGCAAATATGAATTTGTTGCTGTCATTTTTGTTATGTACTTTTTTTGTGGTGTCGATTTCTTTCTACAGTAGATTTTTATTTATTTATTATTAATTTTTTATTTTAAGAGCTTGTTTTACATTCAACATTATGTGTCCATCTAGATTTTAGAAGTTATATATTGTAATAGTGTGATTCTTTTTTAAGAACAGTGAGGTGAGATATGTCCTGGCACATACTAGGTATTGAATAAATGATAGCTATTATTATATCATTGATCAGATTTTATATTAATCCACTTTTAATTCAACACATACTTTATAAAAAATTCTTGATCTTCATCCCAACCGTTAGAAAGGTAGGATCTATTATTATCCGTTTTATAGCTGGGAAAACTGGAGCTCAGAGCGGTGAACTCCTTTGTCCAAGAAAACAGACAATTAGTGGCATAACTGGTATTTGAACTCTAGAATTGCTTATGCCAGGCCCTGTTTTCTGCTTGTTCATATTTATGTGAAAGTGAAAGCTTTTTGCCTTTAATCTTATTCTTTCTATGCCTGTTACTTTTGAGGATTAAAGATTTCATTTGTGCCCCAAAAGAGATTTTTTTCCCCCTCCATTATTACTTTGTTTTAGTTTGTTCTATAATCAGCCTGAGAATTGGGTAGGTATTACATTTACTATATATATATTTATTTTTTCAAATAGATTGACTGACTTCACCATGTCTATTAAAATATATTCTGCTAATTTTGCCCCTTCTGTTTACTTAGCATTATAGCCAAAATCCTATAGAAATTAATTAAAGCTGTGATACCAAGAAAAAATCAAGCTCACTGCTATTGAGTCAATTTCAACTCACAGTGACCCCTATTGCATTTTTGAGACGGTCAGTCTTTATGGAAGTAGATTTGCCCCATCTTCCTTCCACAGAGCGGCTGTTGGGTTTGAGCCACCAACCTGCTAGTTAGCAGTCACATGCTTTAGGCACTGCACTGCCAGAGCTCCAACCTTGTAATAGCACATTGTTGTTGTAGTAAAAGGAATGTCAGACACATTCAGCTGAAAGAGTGGAGAACAACTATAGAATAAAAGTACAAGATGGGTAGTCGGTGAGGTCCAGTGAGAAGACATCCAATTAAATACAGAATAAGGGAAGGAAGTGTTTAGTTTTTTACCCACTAGCATTCTAAGAGATGATAATTCTGCTTTGAGGAAAACTAAAAAATTTTATTCTCAGATCAAATGTAAAGGAGACATAGGAGAGAAAAGATTTGTACCTTTCTGGTAGACTGTAATTCTTAGAATAAGAGGATACAGTAGTTTTCCTAGTGTTGAAAATTTTTGTTCTTTGTTGACTTGAGCTGCTTTCAAATCACTGACCCAGATGTTAGTGGCTCCAAGCTTATATTACCAACTACCACCTCCCTTAAGCTACCCCCTAGTAAATTATAAGGGCTTAGGCTCAATGTTCTATTTTACATTCATAGAATTTGAGTAGCTAGATCTGTATGCAGCTTGCAGACAGCTTCCTCTCTCTCTTATTATAGTTGGCTGCTAAGCTCAAATAATAAACATTTAACAAGTGGAATGCCTTTTTCCCTTTGGTCTTCTCAGCAGGCTTCATAAGGGACTACAGTTTATTTGGCTTTAGGGAAGCTGACTTCCACAGGGCTCAGTAGTGAACATTATGCCTGGTCACCACCACTGGCTTTTTCCCTTTTGAGGAAAGAAGAGAAAATTATTTTAGCAAGGACTTTTTCTGCTCTCTGACTTGGCTCCCTATAGGAGTACAGGATGTGCTATTTCAGTAATTAGCATTCAGTAAGAAAAGAAATTAGGGTATATAATTTGTTAACAAAATGAGTATTCTACTTAAAATTGATTTACCACATCTCACACTATATGGGACGGTGCATTGTTCTTTAGATTTCTTAAATGAATAGAAGTGGTTTAAATAGTTGAACTCTGTGTATTCAGACATAGTTGCACTACATATATTACATGTACAAAAGTTAGATATATCACTAAATGTGGAGCATATTATAAGGAGCTCCTTTTATAACATTAAAAATAAACCTACCTAATATCTGTACATCTCATTTATTCTCTTCTTTATATATCTGTATATACTTATATATATACACATAGACACACACACACCCATACATACTATATATATTATATATCCTAACATACTTCATAAGGAATGATCTAAAACTGAAGAACAGTAAAAATTCTAACTCAGAGATTGTTTTTATTTTTAAATAGACTGTAGTTTTTTGAAAAGGAACTCTGGTGATGCAGTGCCTCAGGCATTTAGCTGCTAACCAAAAGGTTGGTGGTTCGAGTCCAACAGCTGCTTTGCAGGAGAGACATGAGGCAGTCTGCTTCTGTGAAGATTTATAACCTTGGAAACCCTATGGTGCAGTTCTACTCTGTCCTATAAAGTTGCTGTGAGTTGGAATCAACTTGATGG